TGAAGATCTTGCAATTCCAGAGTTGGTGACTCTAAATCACAATGAAATGAGTCTTAGCCAGTGGTCAACAAAATCTGGAGCTCTGGTTGGGAACTCTGCTCTATCCTGTTCCTACTCCACACAACAGTGCAAAGATTTTCTGAGAATGCTCAAGTGGGAAACCACTTAGTCAACCAATACCAAGCTAATGGCAAGTGCTACATTCCAGTTACTGGCTTAGACGGGGATCCAGTAGTTGTATTCCCAAGACTACAGTTCCTTGGGATGTTTTCAGTACATCAGCTCCATTTCCTTTCATCTCTTAAATAGATGACTGAAGCTCTCCTCACAGTTATAACCAAAGTCTCTAAGCCGAAACACAGAACCTGGCTGAGAAGTTGGTTGCTCTATCAAATGGCAGTATTCTCTACCTCCTCTACCTCCAACTCACCCATGAAACATCTCAGAGGCACAAGAGTGCTGAACTCTAGAACCTCAAACCAGATCTCACCATTGTGACTAATAATCATGACTTACTGAGCATCTGCCATGAGCCAGACACTGTGCCAGGAGCCTCACCTTCATTCGCTCATGTAATCTTCACATCAGCTTCACATGATGTGAGCACAGAGACCCATCTAGGATCAAAAACCAACAGGTAGATAACAGAGCTACCTACCAACTAAGTTGCTGTCAAATCAATTCTAACTCATGTTGATCCCATATGTGTTAGAGTAAAACTATGCTCCATGGAGTTTTCAATGGCTCAGTTTTCAGAAGTAGATCACCAGGTCTTTCTTTTGAGGGACCTCTAGGTGGACTTGAACCTACAAGCTTCCAGTGAGCAGCCAAGGGTGCTAACCATTGGCACCACCGAGAGACTCCAGTAACAGAGCTAGAACTCGCAAACTCAGATCTGTTGGAATTCGGAACTACCCAGGCTGACCCCTCCTCCTCTATCTGCTGATCTTAGGAAAGCAAGAGCATAGTTTGGGCCTAAAACTAGCTGCCTATCAATTAAATGCAAGAGGCAACTTATGCATTTCTTCAGAAATCACTGGTGCCCTGGTGGTGCACTGATTAAAGCGCTCGGGTGCCGGCTGAAAGATTGGTAGTTCAAAACTACCAGCAATTCCATGGGAGAAAAATGTGGCACTCTGCTTTTGGAAAGACTGCAGCCTTGCAAACCTTATGGGACAGTTCTATTCTGTCCTATAGGGTTGTTATCACTCAGAATCTACTCAATGCCAGTAGGTTTGGTTCAGTTTGCTACAGAAATCAATAAAAGCAAGCTCTGCTTCAAGTGGTATGAGTAAAACCCCTGACAAATGCATAACAGACTGAGTTGCAATGCAAAGTTTTATGTGTGGGACATGAGCACACCTACACACATGCTTGACTGCTAACCAGAAGGCTGGCGGTTCAAACCCACCAGCCACTCCTCGGAAGGAAGGTTGGGCAATCTACTTCTGTACAGATACTGTCTCAGAAACCCAAGGAGGGGTCGTTATGAGTCAGGGCCAACTCGAGGGCACCTACTAATAACAACAACAACACACATGATCAAATATACAAATTAAATAATCCTGATACATTTACTGGGTACCAGATACTGTGGCACCTAATAAAGCAAAACAGCCAAAGCTATTGCCATCAAGTCAATTCTGATTCATGGTGACCCCACATGTTACAGAATAAAACTATTCCATAGGGTTTTCTTGGATGTGACATTTACAGAAGCAGACTGCCAGGCCTTTCTTCCACAGTGCCACCAGATGTTTCAAACTGCCAACCTACTAGTGATTAGTAGCCAAGCACAAAAAGGAAAATATAAACTCCACTACCTTCAATTTCAGTAATATACCCAACTACTGAACATATACAAAAAAACAGGAAAAATGATCTAGAACTCTTTTTTGATTATTTTCAAATCAAACCAAAGGTTCACATTATATTTCAAATAAAAGAGACTTTCTTCCAAGCTTAGAGGCCATGCTTTTGGGCCAAATGTCTGCTAAGAAATCTTTCTGGCGAGTAAAACTGCTGACAGGACAATTACAGATTCAACTACATCACAGGGCAGATGAGGAGACTTTATCATCTATGATCCAAGCTCGCTGGAAAGGTCCCCTGGGTCATACACTTTTATCGAAAAGAAAAGACTTATTTTCAAGGAAGTTTCCACACCCACTGCCTCTTAAAATACACGATTTGGGCTCTCAAGAAACGCGTTGGATGAACACGCCAAACTAAGACAACGAAGCGTGGGTGGACAGATAGTGTTGTGCATACATAGTTCTGGGGTTTGTTTGAAATCATTAAAGAGCCTCACTCAACATATAAAGTCAATGTAAAAAAAGACTCCATAAAATACTTCCATACACATGATCCCCCTTGGTTCCCCTAAGGACCCAGACTAAGGCTGGCATCATTCCCAGGGACAGCAAGATTGAGTGACTTGCCCAAGGTCACCTGATTCTAGCAGCCAAGCAAGGACGCAAATGAATTTCTTGTGATTCTTTGTCTACTGTGCTTTGCATTACATTAAGCAGCCAAAGAAGTGACTTTATGAGACACCACATTTAGATGATCTCACTTACATACATTAACAATGTTAAGAAGGCCAAAGGAAGGAAATTGTACATAACAATCGCATGTGACAGTTTTCCATGGCAGGGTCTCTGAAGAGAAGAATTGCTTTGTCACTCTTCTGTCTGATTGCAGCCATGGGCTCAAGGGCCCTCTCCTCAATCAGTGGAGTGTGAGAGTAAACAGAGGCCAGCCCAACACCAGTATTGGACACATGGAGATAGGGAAGCACATTACAACCAGGCACCCCTCTCAAATCTTCCTTAGAATCTGTGCTAACTTATCATTATTCCAGGTAGAAATAAAAGTCACAGGTGATGTATCTTTTTAACAGCCAACCATATCAACCACCGTTTGCCCCCTTCCAAAGGCCATCTCTTTGCATCAAGCCTGAAATGACAATCTGACAGAGCCATCGGTGCTTTACAGGTGGCCATTTCATAGGCTACCTAACCCACATGGCTCTTCAACCTGCCAGCGCAGGGGTAACCCTTACAAGGTAGGCAGAGGAGCATAGGGATCCTTCTGTTACACAATCTCGCTTCAGAAGAGAGATAGCTTAAAACTCAGGTAGTGCATCAGATGCAAGCTTCACACTCACCTCCTCAAACTACAGACTTCATCTTTTAAATATCTTTGTTTCTATAACACAAGATATTGGTATAATTTCCCCAGAACCCTTGGCTAATACGATACCATTAAGAAAAGAAAAGAAAAGAAAGAACACTACACAAAAACAAACAAAAACCACTGCCACTGAGCTGATTCTGACTCATAGTGACCCAACAGGACAGAGTAGAACTGCTCCATAAGGTTTCCAAGGCTATAAATCTTTACAAAAGCAGACTGCTCTGCTTCATCTTTCTCCCACAGAGCAGCTAGTGGGTTTGAAGGACTGACCTTCTGGTTTGCAGCCAATGTTTTAACCACAGTGCCACCAGAGCTCCAAACACTACAACTACCAAATTCTCCTTTACTGGCTGCTTCCTGTGTAACAGACACTAACGTTTCACATAAGCTATTCCACTCCATTCTCTCAAATAACCTATTATTCACATTTCACAGATGAAGAAATTAAGGCTTGTTGTTGTTGTTATGTGCCATTGAGTCGGACCTGACTCATAGCGACCCCTCCTTGGGTTTCCGATGCGGTATCACTAAGGAAGTAGATTGCCCAACCTTCCCAATGTTATAAGGTAAGAAGAGTGAAGCCAGGATTCATCTCAGGACAGCCTGGTTCTGGCACCATCAGCAAAAGCTGCCCTCAATGAAGGCTGGAGTCGAATGCCAATTTTCTTTGCTCTCCCCACACCCTCAAAACCAACTGCTCTTCTATATCTGCCCGTTATATTTAGACCTCCATTATCTGACTTACAATGGAGCAAAGTCAGAGGGTACGGCACCATCCCCTCACAGTGGGGTCAGAGTACACCTACTTCTTTGCTAGTCACCCAGGTGACTGATACGCACTTTAGGGCAAATGGGTCCAATCTAGGTTTCTAACCAGAAGTACAAACACAAAAACCATCTCCCGAGCTTCAACACAAACCAAGACTTCCTTTCTACAAGAAACAGTAGAACCAGAAAATAACTGAGATGTACAGAATTGATTGACATTTTATTACTTTTTAGTTCTAATTAATTACCAATTAAGGTAATGACTCCTCCTTTTACTGGTAAGACACTTTATTAAAGAAATCTTTTTAAAATATTTGTACACCCACTCTCTTAAGCACTAGACCCCAAAATAGTCAGGTTAAGTATCTTTGGACCCATTTTTCACTATAAGTCAGAGTTTGCACAAGGTCAAACAACTAGGCTGGCTGCAGAGTAGGAACTGGTCCCACCCAGGTTATTCCTTCCACTATGCATCCCTCTTGAGACGAGGCTGGCCGGTCATGCAAGGAACAGGAAATTGAAATGGCTCCTGTTAAGGCAGAAAGGCTGCCAACTGGTGAGAGAAGGGGACAAATGACCCACACTCACCATGAATTAAAAATGCCTCCTCAAACAACCTTCCAACCAACCGCTACCCACCTGCTGTGCTGAAGGAATAAATTCCCAGAACACACAACCCACCATCCCTGTTTGCTCACTGAAAGGACCACACTATAAAGAAAGCTTTGAGTGAGTAAGATGCTCTTCAAGAACTGAGTTGTAGAGGCAGTTTTGCGAACTGAACTTATCAGCTTGATTCCTACTCGTAGCATCCCCCCACCCTTCTCTAATCCCCACCCCTTAACCACAGCACTGTAAGAAGGGGGGAACCTGAAAAGAGACAAATCCTCAGAGATGCAGTACCCATTGAAACAGCCACCAGGCAAACAGGTTAAAGCCCAATCAAAAGATGGGAGTCTTACAAGAGCAAAGTCATGCACTGAGAAAGCCATGCACCGTATCTAAAATATTGAAACCGGTTCCAATCACTTTACCTGAGTTGTTTTTGCTCTTCTGCCTTGCATGCTGTTGCTATGGCTAATTTGTGGGTTGGTGGCACCTTCAGAAAGACAGTGAGATTTCCTACAGGGAAGTGTGTTATAATTACTGTATGGAGCAGTCTCTTCAGCAGCAGCTGGTGGCATCTTATGGTTTGCAAGATCTGGGATATCAGATACCAAATTCCGACAATAGCCTGTAAGTTTGCTCCTTGGCCCCCCGTTTGCCGTCACCCCAGAGTTTTTCTGAGTGTACAAGTCACCCAAGGAGTTGGCACGCTGACAGGCGCTGAGCTGCCGTGGGCTCACCCGAGTTTCCATCCCCCGAGCCTCCTCGCAGTCCTTCTCTTCGGCAGAACCCAAGATTTCTTCGTTGCTTGTTAAATGTTCTTGGCTCAGATCAGAGAGTGAGAATTCCAGGCTGTCCTCCCGCCAGATGTCTGCAGATTTGGAGCGTTTCTTCTTAAAGCTTGCGGTCTCCATGAAAGTGGGCCCGTTGGATGTATAGGGATGCTGCCTCCTGCCACCCTCAGCCAAATATGTAGCGTCATCCCCGTAAAGCCTGCTCTCCTCGGAGTCTGGCATGCTCTGCACAGAGGCTGCGGTGAGGACGATGCTGCTGTCAACGCTGGGAGTGACAGACGAGTCGGTGTAGGAGACGGGTCTCAAGCCCATATCCACACGGTCCACCCAGATCGGGCTCCCAAAGTCCTCTAGGGTGCCCTCTTGGGAGAAGGGCTCCAGCCCATTTTCAGCCAGGGACTGGGGGATGCTCGGAGTGCTGCTGGACCGGGTGCTGACTTCGGAGTTCCTGTGGATCACCTTCCCTGAGGAGGCGTGCCGTGTGCGTCGTGTCTTGTGCGAGAGGCGCAGTGAGCGGGACGTGTGCTTGCGCCCCAGGCTGGCATGCTTTTCTCCATAAAACGCATGCTCCGCATTTTGACTTTCTGCGTTTCCCATGGTTTTATGGTCTGTCACAAAGAAAAAAAGGAGGGAATTAAATTGAGTCACTAACAGGGACAGTGTACTTGAACTCAGTATGGAGCATGTGGAGGTCTGGGAGATGACAGCATACTGTCCTGTGTGCACCTGGTAGGTAACCTGGGTTCCCACACTGTAGCAGGTAGGAACTAATGTCATTTGCTCAGACTGCCACAGAGATTTTAAAGAAGAGCATAAATAAGGTCATTAGAGAATTAGACTTTTCAAGAGAGTAGATGCCCATAGGACACAGGATAGTTTTGTTTTAGTGGAGCTGGAAAACTGAAGGTTCCTGCTTTCTTTTGAAACTCAGTAAATAATGAAGTTCTACTCCTTTCCCAAAATTAAAAACTCTAAATGTAAAAACCAAGGTGTCAGTCAAAGGACTGACTTTTTGTTTGAATATCCATATATTGCTGTTGTTACTTGCCCTTGGGTTAGCCTCTAACTCATAGTGACACTATGCATAATAGGATGGGAATGTCATAATCCATAGGGTTTTCACTGGCTGATTTTTGGAAACAGATTGCCAGGCCTTTCTTCCTAGAATGGTCTAGTCTGGAAGCTGTGCTAAACCCTGTTCAGCATCACAGCAACATCCAAGACTCTACTAACAGAAGGGTGGTGGCTGCCAATGAGATGCAATGGCCAGGCATTGAATCTGGGTCTCCTGCATGGAAAATGAAATTTCTATCACTGAACCACCACTCCCCTCATGCATATATTAAAAACCCCAAAAACCAAACCCGCTGCCATCAAGTTGACTGCAACTCATGGCACCCCGATAGGACAGAGTAGAACCGCCCCATGGGGTTTGCAAGGCTGTAATCTTTATAGAAGCAGACTGCCACATTTTTCTCTCACAGAGTGGATGGTGTGTTTGAACTGCCAACCTTTTGGTCAGAAGCCAAGCACTTAACCCCTGAACCACCAGGGTTCCTCCAGGGATCCTACGGGGAGTGAAATTACTTGAACATTACAAAGGGCCTGAAACTCTCTGGAATACAGTATATCTCCACATTCATCTCTGGAGTCCCTGGGTGGCTCAAATGGTTAAGCACTCAACTACTAACCAGAAAGTTGGCAGTTTGGACTCACAGGCACCTCAGAAGAAAGGCCTGGTGATATGCCTCTGAAAAGTCAATCCCATGAGAACCTCATGGGGTACAGTTCTACTCTGCAGCACATGGTATAGCCAAGAGTAGGAATCAACTAGACAACAACGGTCTAGTTGGATTATTTTTCATATTGATGTAGGAATCACTCTATGATCCCACTGTCCAGTCTAAAACACTGCTTAAAATTTCACAAGCACATTGTTACTGAAATGAAATATGAGCCAATAGGAAAGGAAAAGCTCCATTTAAATTTCCAGTGAGTTCAGAGGTAACTCAGGCAGACACCAGATGTGAAGCCATTCCCATCGTGGAACATTCCCCACCAGGTCACACATCGTAGGATTCTCAGACAGAATTTTCCAAGAAATAGAAGCTCCTTTTTCCTAGTAGCAAATATATTTCAAAGCAATATGTTTACACTTATTTAGTGTCTTTCAGAAGCAAAAACAAAACAAAAATATAACATATATGTGCATATAAACAAAACAGTTGCCTTTAAATCAACTCTGACTTATAGAGACCCCATGTATATCAGTGTAGAACTGTGCTCCATTAGGTTTTCAATGCTGATGTTTTTTGGGGGAAGGAAATCACCAGGCCTTTCTTCTGAGGAACCTCTGGGTGGATTTAAACCATCAACTTTTCAGTCAGCAGCAAGCACATTAACCATCTGTACCACCCAGAGATTCCTAACTCAGTGTTGGCAAAATTAAAAGATCACCTTCCAGGTATAACCATTTATGGTATGTACAGTCCTAAGAACAACATGTACTACTTTTTTTAAAAAATGTAATTATGGTAATATATGGTAGAGTAGTGCCTAAGGCATTTGACTGCTAACCAGAAGGCTGGTGGTTCAAACCCACCAGCTACTCCTCGGAAGGAAGACTGGGCACTCTACTTCCGTAGAGATACCGCCTCAGAAACCCAAGGAGGGGTTGCCGTTAGTTGAATCAACTCAACGACAGTGAGTTTGGTTTGCTTTTTGGTTATATATAAAACATAAAATCTTAACCATTTTAAGTATATATTTCAGTGGTGCTCATTACATTAAACATGTTGTACAACCATTAACACTACCTATTTCCAAAAGTTTTCCATCATCCCAAATAGAAAATTCAGTACTTCTTAAACAATGTTACATTTTTTATGGTTAAATAATAATAATAATAATAAGCATTTCAGTAACATTGACAGCCATGACAAATATACTTGGAATTCTTGATTTTTTAAGTGTAAATTAAGATAACTATAAGTGTCTATGGAGTCTGTGGGCAGTCCAAACATAAAGCACTCAGCTACTCACTGAAAAGTTAGGGGCTCAACTCCAGCCAAAGGTACCTCGGAAGGAAGAACCTGGCAGTCTATTTCCAAAAGATAACAGTTTAAATTTAGAAGTTTAAGTTTTAAATACAAAAACTCTATGAACCTCAGTTCTACTCTGCAACACACAGGGTCATCACGAGTCAGAATTCACTAAACAGCAAATGGAGGAGAAAGAGAGGTGTCTATGTGTCCGTATCTTTTGCCAATACATAATAAAATGCTTAGAATGACTCTAAAATAAAGCAGTTCCACTTTTAAGAATCACAGAAGTTTATATTTAGAAGGTAAAAGAATTAAGTGGAATAAATCGAGTGTAAGAAAAGGCAGAACTATCACCTAGAGTGCACTAGGATTTACCTTCCTCTATCAAGTATAGGAGCTCTGGTAGCAAAGTGGCTAAAGCACTTGACTGCTAACCAGAAGGCTGGCGGTTCAAACCCACCAGCCACTCCTCGGAAAGAAGGTTGGGCTATCCTACTTCCGTAGTGATACTGCCTCGGAAACCCAAGGAGGGGTCGTTACGAGTCGGGGCCCAATCGACGGCACATAACGACAACAACAATCAAGTATATATTAAAAGTTTGCAAATATGAATTGACAGACATATTTTCAGCAACACATTTCTGGTTAGGCTTGTTGCTGCCAACAGAAAACTCATCAAGTTAAAAGTCTCAGGAGAGGTTTCCTAAAGGAAATGGCCCCAACCTTCAAGAATTACAGCACGCCATGCATCACACTGATGGGCCAGTTATATTAATAGCATCTTTAGTAGCAAAGTTCTGTTCAGCTAGCCAAGGTAGGAAAGAAGCCACTTTTATCCTCAGAACTAGAATTTGCAATGGCTGCCAAATCTCCTAAATCCTACCAAGAGAAATCCTCTGGAGATGACCGAAGCAGAGCCAGCAGGAAGTTTGAAGCAACTAAAGTTAAGAGAAATAAGTTTCTGGGGACTGCTGACGTACCCGTTAATTTGAAAGTTTTTCCAGAAAAGTCACTGAGAACAGCAAAGGCCCATGTGAGGTCAGTGGAGACTCTGCAATAAAATATACATGAAAACTTGTTCACTGCAAACAAGTGGCATCATCTCCTTTAAGAAGCAAAACATGCCACCAAATCAAAACCAAACACACTGCCAACAAGCTGATTTAGACTCATAGTGAACCTATAGGACAGAACAGAACTGTCCAAAGGCTGTAAATTTTTACAGACGCAGACTGCCTTTGTCCTTCTTCTGCGGAATGGCTAGTGAGTTCAAACTACCAACCTTTTTGTTAGCAGCCAATGCTTTAACTGTACCACCAGAGCTCCTAAAAACCTGCCACAGATGTCCAAAAAGCTGGCAAACTGAAATTTCTGACCCTTTTCAGATGCAATTGTAAAAGGCCAGCTAGTTGGTGATGTTAGGTAACGCTGGGTAGGTTCCAACTCACAGTGACCCTATGTACAACAGAACGAAACAGTGCCTGGTCCTGAGCCATCTTCACAATTGTTCCTATGTTTGAATCCACGGTTGCAGCCAATGCATCACTCCATCTCATTGAGGGTTTTCCTCTTTTTTGCTGACCTTCTACTTTACTAAGCATGATGTCTTTCAATGTTTATCATTAAATTTTATTTTAAAGAAAGAAACAATCAAAATCTGATATCTGCACATGTCTTGTCTTTCCTGAAAGCTTAAAAGTAAGTTTAGGGCAGAAAGTGCCTTTCACTTTTCTTGAAACCTCTACAGAGACTAGAAGAGTTCTGAGCATGATAATGTGTCAACAGACATTCATGCATTTTAGCAGCAAAAGCAAAAAGTGAGTAATCGGACTTCATCAGCATAATCATCAGATGGTCACTAGGTAAGAAAAATGTTACAGGGATAAGGACAGGCTCAAAGGCAAAATGTGAAATGGAAGTTGAAGAGGAGAGTTTCAGATAAGAATACCAATATAAGGTTCCCAAAAATGTTACCAAACGCATTAAATTCTTAGCTATAGATTCCTACCACTCCCAGTTGCTGGAGAGTCAACCCCTACTCATGGTGACCCCATGTGTGTCAGAGTAGAACTGTGCTCCACAGGTTTTTCAATGGCTGATTTTTCAGAAGTAGATCACACCAGGCCTTTCTTTCAAGGTGCCTCTCTTAGTAGCTGAACACATTAACCATTTGCAGCACCCAGGGAGTCCTTGGGTAATCATTCTAAAGTTAAAAGGTATCTTGAGGTGGTTTATCAATAAGGACAAACACTGATTAGTCAGTGTTTCATGCATTCATCAGGTAAGTGGCCATTTCTCAGAAATTGTCTTTATAGAAGGAACCCTGATGGCACAGTGGTTAAGCTATCAGCTGCCAACCAAAAGGTTGGTGGTTCTAACCTATCAGCCACTCCACAGGAGAAACCTGTTTCCATGCAGATTTACAACCTTGGAAACCCTGTGGAGCTTCTCTTCTATCCTACAGAGTTGCTATGTGTTAGAATCAAATTGATGGCAGCAGGTTTGGGTTTTATAGATTTATCAGCCTACTAAGCCTTATATGATAAAATGACACAGAACTAAGT